AAAAAATGAAAAAAAGATATTATCTTGACAAATATTATTTTTGCAATCTAAATCAAATTTAAATTTTTATAAATAAAATATAAAATAAAAGGAGGAAGAAAAGAGAAAAGAAGTGCAAGCATACAAAGGATGTGGCGAAAAAGAGATATGTACTAAAAAATAGGCTGATTTTTGGTTATAACTTTAGAAAGAAAAAAAAGTTCGTTGCTAACCCGTTTGTAGAACTGAAACGATTCGAATTTTTATTTTCAAAGATTTTCCAATTAAATTTAATGAATCGACAGCCTGGAAATTAATATTAATATTTTAGTGCAAATACTGTGAGAAACCGGATCAAAAACCGATTGAAAAAGCTGAAAACCAGTTAAAAATTGATGATTTGGGCCAAATCGAATCGAACCAAACCGGTTCGACCCAAACCATCTAGAAAATTCCTTTTTTTTTATATCCAGCGCTGCACCTTCATTTCTCACCCACCATTTCTGCGCCACCTCCAGAGACCACCACCACCTCTAGCCCACCACCGCACCACCACCACCTCCTCCTTTCTTCCTTTTCTTCTTTCTTTCTTTCTTTTCTTTTCTTTTCTTTTCTTTTTTTCTTCCCTGCGTCTATCTCTGTGTGACTGGCGAGAGACAGCAGATCCACTGCACGCCACCCAGCCCTCTTAGTTAATTAATTTAATTTTATTAATGATAGTTAATTAAATTTAGTTAGTTTAATTTTAATAATTTTAGTTGATTTAGTTAATGTTAATAATATTAGTTAATTAACTTAAGTTTATTATTTGTAGTTAATTAATTTAGTAATATTAGTTAATGAAATAAAATTTTATTATTTGCAATTAATGAGTTTAGTTAAGTTTAGTTAAGTTAGTTTTAGTGAATGAAATTAGTTAATTGTAGTTAATTTATTTAGTTAAGTTAGTGTTAGTAATATTAGTTAATTAAATTAATTTTAGTATTTGTAGTTAATTAATTTAGTAGTAGTAGTTAATGAAATTAATTTTATTATTTGTAGTCAATTAGTTTAGTTAAGTTAGTGTTAGTAATATTAGTTAATTAAATTAATTTTATTTGTAGTTAATTAATTTGGTTAATTTAATTTGGTCATTGTGAATAGTTAAGTTTTATAATTTTAGTATTGATTTAATTAAAGTAGTTTAAATATAATGTTATTGTAATGTATAATTTGGATTGTGTGGTGATGTTGAGATTGGAGGAGAATGGGAAAATGTTGTTTGATTAATTGCCCGACGGATGGGCCGTATGGATTGAATATTTGTGAAATTATTGATATTTTAATAGGTAGATAGTCAAATTTTTAAGGGAGATGATGCCGAAATTTCGGTAGAAAAATAAAAATAAATTTGGTATAAAAATAAAATAAATTTCGGTAGAAGAAAATAAATAAACTAGAGTTAGATAAAATAAAATAAAAGTTAGCATTAGAAAAATAAAAATTTTAGTACAGAAAAGAAATTAAATATCGAGATTTATTTACGTTAGAAAAAAAAATTTAGGAATTATAAAATAAAATTCTCTAGGAAATAAAATTCTTAGAGTAGTAAAGAAATATGTTATCTGATATAGTTACTTTTGTTTTGTGTCATTCTTAAATTTCATAGATCGCCCGGGTCCGTCTAGTGCTCCTTCCGACCAAAATCAAAGTTAGGGATTCGTTCTCCACTACTGTGAGTAATAATAAATAATGCATGTCAACACTGCATTTGCATAACATTACATTTATATATATTTACATATTGTATTTTCATTATATTTACCATATATTATAAGTATTTTCTCATACATTGTATATAACTGTGCATTGGGATGAAATGGATGGTTTACGTTGAATGACTTGTTTGATTAATTGTGCTATGCATATATTGTGCTCTGTTTGTGTGGAATTGGGATGAAGTGGGTCACCATGGGTTTGTGAGGATGGTCAATAAATATGGATCCTGATGAAATTATGAAATTAGACTGTCGGCCGGGTAAATGGGAAATCGGCGCCCCCGTGTGCACCTGATGAACTGATGAAATGATGTTGATGATAAGAGAAAAAAAAAAAAAAAAGAGGGAACATAAAATAAAATATTGAGAGGACTGGTCAAGTGAGGATTAGACCGGTCGGCCAGATATGGAGGATTGGCTCCTCGGGTGCACATGTGTGAGAGGATGGGTTGTTTGAGAGGACAGCTCGTCGGGGGTTTAGGTGACGCCACTGACTAAACTAATTTCCACGTGATGTGATTATTTGAAGGTGATATTGTTTGTGGGTGCTGATGTAATGTCATATGATTGACTGTTGTGTGTTCATTCAGTATATTATGGTGCATTTTGCTTGACTGTATGTGGTGTGTATTATTTATTATTATTCACTGAGTTGCAAAACTCACCCCTCCCCAACAAACCTTCCAGGTACTAGGAAGCAGCTGATTCGGCTGAAGCTCTGCAATCTTCTCTGCAGAGTTACAAATGTAAACTTTATATTCATGTTATTTAATTTTGGATGTATAAATTATTCTGTTATCAGATTATTTTTGGACTCCGCAGTTATAGGGAGTTGTGTATAAATATTGCGACTTATTAATTAGCACTACACTATAAATTTAATATTTATGTAATTAGCTTGTAGTGTGAACCAGTAAGCCATAACGTGATTATAATTTATTGTGAATAGGCCCTGGTTTTATACATTTATGTGTTTATTATTTTGAGTTTGGGCCAGATGTTTGTATTATGGGTTTACTGTTTTTGATGAAATTGGAAAAGATTACTGTTTTGATGAAATTGGAAAAGATAGGTAGACATATTGGATAATTTAGGCTTACTACGGGCCTCGGGGGCCTTAAGTTTACCTGGGCCCTAGTGCCGATCCGGCCCATGGAAACGGGTCGTGACATTGATCCTTTTGCAAGAATCTACAAAAAAATATTATTTTTTATTTTATTTCTTTGGGACTTAATAAGTATAATATATTTGATATTTGAATTATTGAAAGTGATTATTTATTATAATAAAAATAATATTTTTATTTTTAAATATCTTGTAACATCTACTAGCAAAGCGCGAAAAGACAACTAAGTGAAATAAGAAAAAAACTGTGGCATTAATTTTGCTAGAAATCTATCATTGACCTTAAATTTTATAATTTTCACATATTTAACACATGAATATTTAGTCACCTCAAGCTTGTGTTGCACATGCACTTTCTTGAATTAAAAACTAATTAATACACGCATCATTTTCGACCTCTACACTCAAAGTTTTGTTTTTTCAGACAAAGAAAAATAAATTTATTTTCTTTTTTTAATTATTTTCCTTTGTTATCCAAGCACAATTATGAAAAGTAACAATGTAAAAAAAAATTAATAATTCACTATTATTTTTCTTTGTTGTTTTGATTCATCTTCTTTGTAAATAGAGCGTAAAATATTGTCTACACAAAAATTATAATGTAGTGATTTATTGAATATTCTTCTAGAGACGAAATGAAAAACCTAGCACAATTTACAGTCACCCGACCTAAACTAATTTAAGAAAATGAAAAACCTAAAACCTAAAAACATAAGAGTAAGAAGAGGAGGGATCCAACACCGTTTAAACCCAATTCAAGATCCCCACACTCTGTTTCTTATATATAATTCCCCACACTTCTGTTCTTATTATATATATATATATATATATATATATATATATATATATTATATATATATAATACATGTAAATAAACTTCATATAAGACAAAGGAAAAAAGAAAAGAAAAAATTGCGACAGAGTTTTGATTTCTAGGCCTAAAATGTCAGTAATGACGAACAGAAGAGCCGTTAATATAATCCAATGATTACATTATTCGTTATTCAGACATCATCAGAGTTTTCAGTATATATAATACATGTAAATAAACTTCATATAAGACAAAGAAAAAGAAAAGAAAAAATTGCGACAGAGTTTGATTCTAGGCTAAAATGTCAGTAATGACGAACAGAAGAGCCGTTAATATAATCCAATGATACAGTATTCGTTATCAGACATCATTCAGAGTTTCAGACCTCGTATAGTGCTCTGTCCAACCAACCCCCAAAATCATTCAGAGTTTCAGACATCATTGGGCTACCCTTTCAACGGATCTTTTTACATTCAAATTTCAAATTGGTAAAAACAAAAATAATAATAAACCCTTTTCTATTTAATTAGGGGAAAAAAATAAGTTCATCTTTAAATTATAATCAAATTAACATATAAAAATTTCTATTTTTAAAAATTAATTATAAATTATAATTCTGTTAATATTTTGATCTTGTCATCCAAAGTAATGTTAACTAAATTATAAATTAAGGACCTCGTAATTTGTTTGACTATAATTAATGAACCCTTTAAATTTTTTTTATACAAAATTAATTTTATCTTTTTTCCAATCAATTGAAAAATGGAAAGAGCTTATCTTGATCGTGAATGACCAAAATACTATAATTGATATAGTTAGTTTTTTAAAAGAAAGATCTTGATTTGTTAATTTAACTATAATTTAATGACCAATTTATATTTTTTTCCATTTAGTTTTATTATATGCAGCTTCTATAATTATAACAAATCAATTTATTTAAAACATAATCACTTTAATGATTTTTAATAATAATAATATTACACAAATTAGTTTTATTAATTAAAATTTAGTTAAATTCAAATTTATAACTTCACCGATAACTTGATAAGCCAGAACAAATAATAAGTTAGTAAGTGGTTTCGTCTTTGATTTAATTTTAGAAATTTAGATTAGAGAAAACTATATTTATAATTCTCAAATCTCAAGGTGAAAAATAACCATAATAACACCCAATCTTAAAAAAAAAAAAAAAAACACTTAACATGTTCTCCTCTTACCACTCCAAGCCATATGTCATCATCACACCAGGAAATAAAAAGAAAACAAAAGAAAAAAAAAAAAAAAAAAGATTTCCAGTTTCACTTTCACAGTCCACAAAGAGAGTGACAAAATCAATTCAAAGCATATGACCGTATCATTACCTTTTCATAATCCCAAATAAATGCTAAAAAAGAAAAAGAAAAAGCTCAGGTTCTAACCAGAAATGTACCAATTCTTAAGCCCAAATCCATTTCACATATGTATGAATTTAATCAAATTTCACAAAATTTTTGGAAAACAATTAAATTCTCACATAAAAGTAATCCTAATTATACAATTAATTAATTTCTTAAAATCCTAAATTAAACTAATAACAGAGAAGAACAACAGAACAAGAAACCATAAAGGCATAAATCAAGATCAAGAAGCCAAAATGCAAAGCCCAATTTCTCTTAAACTTACCAAAATAACTCTCTGGTGGTTCTTGATAATGAATCTCAAGCTCACCTTCATCTCCAACAACTTCCCCATACTCACTATTCCCACTTCCCATTCTCATCTTCAATTCCCTTAGCTTTTCAGTCGCTAATCCTAAAGTCAGCTTATGGCATCTTCTTTGGTATTTAAACCCATTGATGCACCTCAGGGTTTGAGCTACGGAGACATAGAAGATTAGGTGGGCTAAAGAGAGAAGGATTATTGGGGCCCAGCAATGCCTGCACTGAAGGCGGCTAGATTGCGCCTCCGCCATGAAAACCAGAGAGAGGAAAATGAAGAAGAGAAGGAAAAGCTTGTGGAGTTCTTTCTTTTGGAGGTCTATTGATCTTTTCTTTTCAAGAGTTTTCTCGAAGTGGAGCTGGATTATGGTGTTTAGGGCTTGGAGTGCTGTTTCTTTTGGGATTGATTGGTGGTGGTGGTGGTGGCTACTACCTTGGTGGTGGTTGGTGTCGTAATCTGCCATTGGAGAGAGAGAGAGAGAGAGAGAGGAGGAGAGGTAGCAGAGAGGTTTAACGGGTAGTTAATGCTATTTATTTCTTTTTTTAATTTTTTACGGCTTCGATCTCGAGGAGTAGTCTTTACTTCGGTTTTTACAGTTTGAACGGGTATATGGCTGGGGAATTTAACTATGGGTTGCTACTTGTCCTAGGTAGTTATGGAAGTCACACCGTAATTTTTATATCCGCTCTGCTTCGATCCGTTTAACGAGAATATTAATAGTTATAAATATGTTTTAAACGAATATAAATAGTGAAATTAATATTTTATAACGGTATATAAATATTAGATTCTGAATACTCGCTATCACTATCCGAATGATTTTGGCTATTGGAATCCGCAAATACCCTATCCATTTATTGGTAAAAAATGCATTTAAATAAGTTTGGTTTGGATAATTTAATATGCATGGATACCCTACCCGTTTAAAGGGTATTTTAAATAGGTTTTGACAAATATGAGTATTAAATTTTTAAACGGGTGTACTTAAATAGAGATTTAAACTGATTTAGAATGGATAGAATTAGTAAAATTTTAAACTGATACAGTTATGGGTAATTCAACATTCGCGGGTACTTGCCCTGCTTCCATTTAGGTTGTCTAATTATGATTAAAATTAATTTAAATTCAATCTAATAATAATTTAAGATTGAAAAATTACAATTTTATCTCTAAAAAATGTTGAAATCAAACTATTTCGTCCTTCTATCTTTATTTTGTACTTTTGTTAAATACTTATTGAAAAGACAAAAATACCCTTCATTAACAATCCAGCATGCCAATCTCCTTCCTCCTGCCGTCATCCTTTTCAACGGCAATAATTGTTTGGTGCTCACTGAGAACATTAACAATTGACAAATGGTTCAAGGAATTCAATGAGGATATAACCAATAATATTGCACATTTGATCATTTGCGATTTCACCTTGCACATCCTCTCGCTAACATCAAAGACACTGCTGAAAAAGGTAGCGCTCTCACCTTAAGCACCATAACTTGCATCCAGTAACTCGTCCCAGCCGTCACAATGGCAGATTCTGATAACAAACCAACCTCTACATTTTACGATTAATCATGACATGATTACAATTAATTTTTACTAGAGTAGGATTAATAAAAAAAAAAAGCCTTAAACTCATGAGGTGAGTTGTCGCATCATTCTGGTATAGGATTAAAGAGAGAACCAGGAGGGGACATTAGATGCTCATCATAATTGTAGACTCTCAAGTTCTTGATTTTTGAAATATCTTTGATTTTATCATCTTCTTTCTTAATTTCTGGTGGTTTATGGTGAAGAGAGAGCAAAGACAATTCTTTCCAAGTGGCGTTGCATACAGGGCAAATAAGTAGCTATTGCTTCTCTTGTGCGCAACTACACAAGGAAAATGAAAACATAGCTGCATTCTACTATAAAAATAGTTAGTTGTTCCTTGCTCACTCTCCACGCCTTGCAAGCATATTCCACAATAAAGGAGAAGAAAATCAAAATTTTTATAACTTGCTATGCAAAGTTTTATTTTTTATTTTTTATTTTTTAATTGAATCGATGTGGGTATTTGATAGAGTCATCAATTCTGGAATTAAGTTCTTGTTGGACATAGAGAGATTGTGATGGGAGTTAGTGGAGATGGCAGTTGTGATAGGAGTAGCAAAGAGATTATATCCGAGGAGGAAGGCAAAGAGAAAAAAGATAAAAAAAAAAAAAAGGTTTTTATTATTTTAAGGGTATTTTAGGTATAAAATTTCTATTTCTCAATTTGAATCTATTTTTTTAGCTTGATAAATGGTAAAGTCACAAAATATAGACAGAAGGGTCAAAGTCTAACGAAAATAAAAAAATAGAGATATATTGATGTATTTTCTAAAATAAAATGATACGCGGATTAATTTTTATATTTTCTACGTATAAATTGTAATCTTTTCCTTTAAATACCCTCAATAATGATACATAAGTAGTTTCATAGAACTATCCTCAATAATGAGTGAATATTAACCTAAGGAATGATAGGCCAATTTGGCTTTCCATTCTTTTTAGACACGAAATATGTTTGGTCGCATGCATAATTTTCCTTATGAACTTTCACCAAAAAACCATTTGTGCTCAATTTTGAGAAACACCTCTTGTCCACCTGAATTTTTATTTTTTGTAGCTATTTCACCCCTTGTCAAATTTAAGCTTGTGCATAAATTACAATCGCGTTGACGTGTCATAAGTAGTTGAAATATAATCAATTGATATATCCCGTTGGATTTCACGTGTATAAAAAATAACAGAAAGAGAAAAACTAAAATGTGAAGATTTTAATGCCTCCATCAAAAACCCGCTCAAATTTGCATTTGAGAAAGGAATAAAAAATTTTAACGCCTCCGTCTTGAAATCCTTTTCTTTGACATTGTGTGTCTGCATTGCATCTCTACCCGGTATAGGTAAGTTCAATCTTTCCCATTTTTGTGATTTAGGATTTTCTCATTATTTGGGTTTACTAGGTAATTTGGTTTCGCTTTACTAGGTATTGTAGTTTTGTTTTTTTATAGTTATTTGGTAGAGTTTGCCGTTATAGGAAAAGGAATGACATGTGAAATGGTTTTTTTATATTTATTTAGAAATAGTGGGGATAGATGTTGTTGGATGGTTTCTTTTTTATAAGAAAAAGAACCCTCATCTGCATTGTTGGGAGAATTGGAAAACAAGTAGAGAGAGAATAAGCTTGAGATGGGGATAGGTTTGTTGATTTAGGTGCTCCATTTAAGCAATTGAAATTTAATTCGAAGCTGTTTCTTACACGTACGATTAAAAAATTATTGTTCACGCTTTGTACAGCGATTTATTTCACGCTCTACTGATCCAGCTTGGCAATGGATGGAATAGCTAAAAAAAAGGAAATTTAAGGCAGATAAGAAGTCTTTCGCAAAGTTAAGGAGCACAAATGGTTATTCAGTGAAAGTTCAGCGAAATATGTTTACATGATAAACTAACACATATCACAAAGAACTATTAGTAATTAGTTATCTCATTTATATTATATAAACGAGATTATACATCTATATATCTCCATTTAGAACATACTAGTTTTTTTAAGGAAAATGATTTTCGATTTTTAAGAGCATAAAACATTTTCTGAACATTGAGAAACTTATTTTAACCTTATAAATCTATATTTTTTAAATTTTATTAATAATCGATAGCCACTACCACCACTCACTGTTCACCATTTATATTATTCTTATTATTATTTTTATGGTCTTATAAATTAAAAATTTTAATATTTTTAATTAATTTTCAATATTATAACCAAAACACTTTCATAATTTTCAATATTTTTAACTAATTCATATTATTCTTCTCTCTCTCTCTCTCAAGAACACTTGTATCAATTCAAAAAGGAGACTATCTACTATTCTCATATGGCAAGAATTAAGGCTTGATTTGTGGTGTTCAAGTTCATTTACAACCTTTTTGGTGATAGATCTTATGAACTTTAATGAGAGAAATGTACTTGAAAAACTTTAGTAGGTGTTTGAAAATCAAGAAAATGAAGGAATTGAAGAAATTACAGCGAGAAGCATAATCTCTCTCTCTCTTAAACTTGAAATTGGCATGCAACCACAATAGAAAGGAAAAGTGACTTTTACTCTTATTAAGCCACGATTTGTTATAAAAAATAAAATAAATAAATAAATAAAAAATCTTGTGGTGGAACCTATGATAATTTATCATACACACACTCCTATAAATTATTAGATTAAGCTTCCAAATGAAGGTAAGATATGATCTAAAGATAAACGTTACGTTTGATTGGAAAGAAAATATGAGAAGATAAGAATGAGAAGGAAATGTCTCATAAGATCCACAACAAATCACAAAATAAAATCCCATCGGCCTCAAATCACAACCACACATTCATAATCTCAATATATTCGAAGTAATGCAAGATACTTACAATTTAATTAATAGAACTTTTAATCATAAATTCTCATTTACGATAGCTCAAATATATTTAATAACTTAACAATTAATATAATCTTTCAATTAGTCTTCTACATTATTTACCTCAGCTTCTAAAGGTTATTATTCAATTTTCACATAATTCATTCTTCTTAGTGCACATAATTATCCACTCAATGCAATAAGTCCCAACAAAAAAACCAAAAAAAAAAAAAAAAAAAAAAAAAAAACTCAAATATATTTAATAACTTAACAATTAATATAATCTTTCAATTTATCTTCTTACATATATTTACCTCAGCTTACTAAAGGTTATATTTCAATTTTCACATAATTCATTCTTCTTTAGTGCACAAATATTATCCACTCAATGCAATAAGTCCCAAACAAAAAAAAAACCAAAAAAAAAAAAAAAAAAAAAAAAAGAACAAAAAAAAAAAAAAAAAAAAAAAAAAAGAAATACAAATCTTCAGCTAACTAAAATTCATTAAAATCCCTCCAAAACAAACATTAAAACTTCAAATATCTCAACTAAATTTTATATACACTTTTTCAATAATTATTTCATTCCATCATTTAAGTTTTCAATCTAATTAGCATTAGAAATCTAAACTTTAACAATACTCTAAAGGGTCTAGGATTTACCTAAATTAAAACTAGCTACACAGATGTTATCTAGGCATGTATAGAACGTGCTATTGTTTTCCATCTTCCAGTCCTCTAATCATGACTACGGTTTCAAAACTATCGATTTCGATTTCAAAACTGTCAATTCCAGTAATAAAAAAGGTGGAATCGAAACCGATTTGGTTTTAAGTAATTTTTAAGACGGTTTTAAAACCACAAATTTCAGTTTTGTTCAGATTTTGAACCAAATTTAGATATTTATTTGCAAGCTTTTTAAATTTTCTTTTTTTAGATTTGTAGCTTGAATAAATAATAATAAATATTTTTATTAAAAAACTAAACCAATTTAATAAAAATTTTAAAAGTTATTTTAAAAAATTAACAGTAAAACAAACAAACAAATTGAAAATTCTTTAAGAATATGTTTTTCTCGGTTTCAAAAAAAGAGTCACAAGTTTTAAATAAAA